GGACAACTACACAGTAACCTGTAATGCAACAGACATGGCAGGAAACACTGGCAATTGCTCCTTCAATGTTTACATTTTAGGTATGTAGTTTTTATGAGAATATTTTATGAAATTATTTCCAATGAATGATTCCATAAATAGTTATTATTATTATTATTATTATTATTATTATTATTATTATTACAGTGTTATTATTATTATTATTGTTGTTGTTGTCCAAATCCATAGCAAAACCCTAATGGGTTAGGTCATTGCGTATTACATGTAACAAATATAGTTAAAGTAAATTTTAGTGCTCATGTAGCAGGTAAGTTTTTGTAACAAGGAATATAGATGGGTACGATCTGAAAGCGATGTGATATTAATCAAAATGTAAAAGCAGTTTGTTAGAGTTAATTTTTACGTGTTTGGTCCTTATATTCGCAATTACAATTTAATTTTTTATTTTTCAAATTTGCGGATTTCAGTACATTATTGTAACCGTTTACCTGTAATTTTAATTCATAATTTAAGTATTGACTTGAAACTAATTTAACGTTAATGATTATCAAAGCCTGTGTTGAAATTATTAGGAAAACGTGTTATTTGTATTAGATTTGTCAAGGTTTTTTAATGTTTTATTAAAGTTTGTGAACTTCATACACATATTTATTGCTGAAAAGCCCTAAGTTTTAAATACTAGAAATCAACATAAAATACTGCTTGACACATAACTCGGTGGTGATATGATTCATTTCACATGTATGACATTATTTGCACCGTAACAGGTATACAATCTTATTTTCTTACCATGCGAAAATCCAGAGGAAATGGAACTGGAGTGAGGTGCGTGACAATGCGCATGATGCATTTCACAAGAAATTTTATTATTATCTTTTTTTTATTTTGGGCTGATAAGAGTAATCACAATGTTTAACTTAAATAGGAAAGCTTTAGTATTAAGCAATCCTCCGCACCCCACCACCACTTCACAATGTAACTCTGAGTGGCGTCTCAAACTACAGGTCCTTTTTTGTGTATTTCGCGAAATTTGTATAGATAACCAAAATGACCACAGCGGTCCAAATTTGCTTTTCGATTACTTCACACATTCTTTCGAAAACATATTCGTAATTGGCAGAAGTAATTTTTTTAAAACCATTGTTTGTATCTACTTATTTATATACATTTTATTTGGTCTTTTTTTATTAGATGTTACTTCACCTCATGTGACATGCCCAGACAATATTACTGCTTATAACGATGCATCTGCTAATACAGCAGCAGTGACATGGAACTCAGCAGTTGTTACTGATAATTGTTGTGAAGATATTAGTTTGTTTACAAATATTTCAAATGGCACTGATTTTAAAATTGGAATTACTGAAGTTACCTTTACTGCAGTGGACTGTTATGGCAATGAGGATCAGTGTGTATTCAGTGTTATTGTTGAAGGTAAAACATTTGTTACAGCTTCTATAATCTATGTACTTTATCCACACAAAAACACAAAACTTTGAATAGCTATGCTGATCTGAGTGATTAAAAAATATATAAAATGAAAAGCAGCCAAATGTTTTATTAGACTCAAAGTAGAATATTTAGTAATAAAGAATATATGCTGATTAAATATCTAATTTTTGTAACATTATTTTTCTAGTATTTTAATTTGTATTTATTTATTCATTCTTTCGTAATTTCTTTCTTCGCCAGATAATGAACCACCAGTTCTTGAATGTCTTTCAAACCAGATGGTAGCAGCTGATTCTGACTGTGTGGCAACTGCCACCTGGATGCCACCGAATGTTACAGACAACTCTGGGGACAGCTTTACAGCCGTATGTGATTTTGTCAGTGGAAGTACTTTAACTTGTAATGCTACAGACGATTATGACAATATTGGCTATTGTAACTTCACCGTTACAATCTATGGTAAGATTCGTTTTTATATACGTAAAATTAATCTAATATAAATCAAGATAGCCGTTAACTTTGTTAAATTATATATTTCTTATCTTGATTTATATTATATGCTCTTATTTGTTTCTAGCCTTACCTATTGTGTAATAGAGTGTATCTGACGTTATTTGAATCTGTCCAGCCATGAAGCCTCCGTGGTCTGATGGTTATGACGCTCGTCTTGACAGCGAGAGGTCGCAGGTTCGAATCCCGTTAGAGGCATTTTATTACACAATTTATTTATTTATTTACAGGACTACATTCGTTGAGAGCTATGCTACACGATGTATTATCATGTCCTTTATTCAAACACTGTATTTGCCTTTCTTTAATGATATATATATGCTGTATATACAAATATTTATAGATTAATCATAAATGAGAAAGAAATTTTAATGATATAACAATATAGGAAAGACTACATATAACACTAACATCGTTGATTTGATATTTTTTTGTACTAGATTAAATTAATATTAATTTATGTCACTTTATAATAGTTTAATGATAAAAAAGTCCACTGAATTATCTCAGATATGAAAGTATAATACATAATATTATACGTACTGTAAGTATTGAAATACATGCAATCGTTTAGGGATTCAATATTTCGACATATATTATATCATCGTGAAGAATGAAAAAGTTATCCATATTTACAAGCTTATATGCACAAATACCAAAAGTGTTTAACCAATCAAAACATTACCTCTAGTAGGTGCAGTGTTAGCAGTGATTTAAACTAAAAATCAAAGCATTCTTAAGCTACCAACAAAAACATAGGAAGCTCATTTGAAGCTCTGAACCCACTGTTAAGCAATGGGTGTAGATTTACATAAATTGCAAATGCTTCTTTAAACAATAGGATAGACCAGTTTTGGGAACTGTCAATATTGTTAGTACTAGAAACTGTTTTGTTCCTCATGATGACATAAAATGTTGAAATATTGAATCCTAACACGATGGCGTGCATTTCAATACTTGGAGTATATATTAAATTTTCTTACCTGAAAAAAAAAACAGTAAACAAACATAATTAAACAACATTTTTGAAAATTTTCTGGCATGCTTACTTGGCATAAGAATATTTATTTGAAAAATATATATAAAAATGTTTTGTTTGTTGGTATTGTTATTGTATTGCTATTTTCACCTCATTAAGAATATGAATATTAGACTCCACAAAGTACAGAATTGATGCTACAATTTGTAAGTGAATATTTTTATTTTGTATCTGTAAGATTGTGCTAATGACTCTGTAAAATTTGCATTGTTTGCCCATCTTAATGAATACATATAGAAGTATATTATGCCTTTACGTTGAAGCTTAAAAAGACTTCTTAATATTTTTTGGTAACAGATGAGACAGCCCCTAATGTGATATGCCCAGTTGACCTTGAGGTCTGCACTGACCAAGAAACAGATTCAGTGAATGCCACCTGGGAACCAGCCAATGCAACTGACAACTGCTGTAGTGATGTCAACATAACTGCTAACTACACCAGTGGAGAAACTCTGAGCTTTGGTGTATACACAGTAGGATATACAGCAACAGATTGTAAGGGGAATGTTGGTTACTGTCAATTCAGTGTTGAGGTTAAAGGTACCAGGAACCATTTCAAATAATTAACATCATTAAATATACTTATCAGTAGTTAAGAGTAAGCATAGTAAAAGCAAATTAAGCGATTTGATTCTGCAATTGAATGTAATATGTTGTAGTGACAGCATTTTATGGCTTATTAAAAGATTGTGAGCCTCCGGATCTTGAATGTCCTCCGAACCAAAACGTAACAGGTGACGAGAACTGCTTGGCAAATGTCACCTGGACAGCACCCACTGTTACAGACAACTCTGGAGACTCTTTCACACCAGTATGTGATTATATAAGTGGAAGCACATTTTATGATGTCAGCACTACTGTTACATGTAATGCTACTGACAATTATGACAACACTGGCAATTGTACATTTACCATTACTATTTATGGTAAGTCATATTTTGATTATCTGATGATAATTATTAACTTAATACAATAAAATTAAATACCTAGATGAAAGAAAAGTATTGTAAAGTTTACAATAATATTAACTTTTATTTAGATAAAATTATGTTAATACAGTATTAGGAATTCCAAGTAGATATTACGAAAAACATAATAATATACTCTTTTTTAATCAAATAATTTTTAATTAAACCAGATGATGAAGATCCAGTCATAAATTGCCCAGCTGACATAGAAGTTTGTGCTGAAACTGGTTCTATAGCAGCATCTGTCACTTGGGAACCCATCAACGCAACTGACAACTGTTGTGACAATGTAAACATAACGTCAGATTACACATCAGGAGATGAATTTGAAATTGGTGAAAATGTAGTATTATACACAGCAACTGACTGTAGTGAAAACTCTGCATCATGTAGTTTTACTATAAAAGTGATTGGTAATGAAATCATTTATTGTATTTTTATCAGAATTATTCAGTTATATCGCTTACTGTAGATGGGTTGATTATTATTAAAATATTATTTTATTGATGTTCAGATTGCGAAGCTCCTTTTTTGAACTGTTCGCAAAATGTAGAATTTGATGCTGATGACAATTGTACTTCTGATGTAACTTGGACTGAAGTGACAGCAACAGATAATTACGATAGTGATGTAACTGTGTTCTGTAACCCGACTGAAGGTATTTTTCCATTGGGCAACTACACAGTAACCTGTAATGCAACAGACATGGCAGGAAACACTGGCAATTGCTCCTTCAATGCTTACATTTTTGGTATGTATATTTTATGTGAATAATTAAAAATGTTATTTCCAAGTTTTATTATATGCTACTAGGCGCAATATTAAGCAGGAAACACTGGCAATTGTTCCTTCAGTGTTTACATTTTTGGTATGTAATTTTTAAACGAATATTAAATAGAATGAATGAATCATTGCATATTTGTGTTTCTGCACAATTGCCTGTGAATACTTTTCTTTCTTCAATAGATGCAACTTTCCCAGACATCACATGTCCAGAAGATATTACTGTTGATGCTGATGAAGGTGATAGCACTGCCGCAGTGACATGGGTTCCTGGTGTCGTTACTGATAACTGTTGTGGAAATGACATTGATGTGGTTTATAATGCCACAAATGGCTCAGAATTTAACATTGGAGTTACTGTAATTAGCCTTATAGCAACAGACTGCTATGACAATCAGGATGAATGCATCTTTAGTATTTATGTCGAAGGTAATTTAATGATATTTTATTATAGTTCAAACATCAATTTTTTGTAAAAACATATAGCTATAATATTGTTTATATTTCATATAATTATTTACTCGCTGCATAATCTTTAATATTTATATTGAAAAAAACTAGTATAGTATTTTAGTATAGTTTAAACTCATCAAATTTTTGTAGAAACAGAAAACTATAATATCGTATTTTTATTTTCGGTACTGACTTGTTAACCATTGCTTATATCCCATATTATGGTTATATTTTCGCTGCATAATCCTCAAATAAATATATGTTCATTTTTACAGATGATGAACCTCCTGAACTTGAGTGTCCACCAAACCAAAATATAACAGCTGATCCTGATTGCAGGGCAGTTGCAAACTGGACAGCACCCAATGTTACTGACAATTCTGGAGATACCCTCTATTCAGTGTGTGATTATAGCAGTAGTAGCATATTTTCAGACATCATTACTACTGTCACTTGTAATGCAACTGATGGTTATGGCAACACTGGGTACTGTAGTTTCAACATTACGATAGTTGGTAAGCTACTTTTAATTAGCCTACATGAATGATTACCAGTATGAACCCACATTTGCCAAAGTCGTATTAACTATATCACACCTGAAAAATATAAGAATCGTCCGTCTTAGTGCAGCATGTTAGTACATACAAAACCAGAGCTATAAATTCAGGAGATTCCATTTTTTTTCTTCGATGCTTGTGGAGAAAATTTGAACAAACATTTTTTAAATTTCTGTGACCTTTACCTTGTTTTTGACCTTTACACAATATTGATTCACCTTTCCATAATAACCTTTCCATAATCCTACTAACAAACAAGCAGACAGACAGACAAACAATGGTAAATACATAACCTCCTTGGCAAAGTAATGTTAAAGAAATAAATTATCTTTTTTTTGTCCAGTTCAAAGTATTTGAAATTGGAAATTTTGGCTTGGATACACGGACCCGCGGTATCTGCAGTGCAATGGAAACGTTGCATCTAATCCTGCCTAACACTCATGCGAGGGTTATTCAATAACAGCGTAGAGATAAGATTTCGGAAAAACAAAGATTTAGTCCTAAATCAAAGAATTTTTAAAGAACAATAACATTATTTAATACAACCTAGTAATTAAATATTTCTCAATATTTTCAATATACTAAAGTGACAAGTTGTTTAAATTTATGTAACAACGTGTTCTAATTTATATTATATTTACCATTAAAAGCTGATTATTCTGATTGAAGTTTTTATAAAGAATGTTACTTACTTGTGTTGATGTTGTGTTATTTCTATATTATACTAACAGTTGTACATTTAATTTTAGATAAGATGCCTCCTGTCCTGGATTGTCCAAATGACGTTATGGTGTTTACTGACACGGGGGTTGATTCAATGAATGCCTATTGGTATCCAGCTAATGCAACTGACACCTGTTGTGGTGACACTGAAGTGGATGCCAACTACACAAGTGGAGATGAATTTACAGTCGGCAATACCACCGTAGGATATTCAGCAACCGATTGTAATGGGAACACTGGATATTGTCAGTTCATTGTCACAGTAACTGGTAGGGAGATGTTTAAAATATATGAGATATATATATA